TCAGTGGTTAGGCTTGTACATAAAATATCAGCAAATGCCTTAAGTTTTTTATAATCTTTACAGACAGCTGCCTTTATTTCACCCAGTAGTGATTCTCTTGGCACATAATGTGGGGCAGTCGTCTTTTGTATAAGTTTTGCTTCATACAAAGATATAAACAGCTGAGGCAATGCCGCAGACAGTAGATATTGGTCTGAGCCTACAGTATAACGAGCAAAAATTCTACAAGCAGGATGCTCTAAACAATAAATAAATATATAAATAAATTTACATTAAACTCACTCTCCATATCTATTCCATCAGCTACTCCATTCTCTCCTATTCCCCTCAATGCTGATACCAATGAATAGATAGTAGGACCACCTTTAGTCTCCAGTACATCATCAGCTTTCTCTAACCATTTAGTAAGACACTCAAGCAGACAACCCTCAATATCTCCTTCATTATTCCTGCTAATAAGATCCAGTGTAGTAGAGGATAGACCAAGATGAATACCAAGGCCATAGTAATTTACAACTCCGAAATAAAAACTAGGCCTAGACCCATGTCTTCTCAGTAATTGAAGTACTTCGGGTAGATCAGTAACTGTTAAATAATTTCATTTGATAAAAGAAATAAACAAATAAATATACTTGTCAGTTGATTTGGAGGGACTGAAAGCTTAGAAGCCATTACTGAGATGAAGGGTGGGGCTGACAATGATCACGTGATTACAGCCACTAGTCATTATACAATGCCAACTCAGCAATTAAAATCCTGATGCCGCCCATTGCAGTGCATTTGGCCCAGTAATGAGTTTATGTTCCTACATGAGTACATGTCCATAGTATATTGTATACATATGTATCATACTGTTGAGGCATCTTAAACTGTATTGTAAAGTTAAACAAAAGTACACACACAGCACATGAAGTAAAAAGTGCACAGAAAAAATAATAATGTCATTGCTCCTGTAATCATTATCTTCTTCATCTATCGTCAATGTATGGAATAAGGTAAATTATTGTGATGACTGATAACTTACATGAATCAGCAATCCTGTCAGCTAATGTAGAAAGAACAACATAACCCTGTTCCCTCAGTATAGACAAGAATGTACTAATATGGTCAGGGCAAATCTCAATTAATAATGTAATATTTCCCATGAAAAGTTCTACTCTTTTTGATAAAGACTGGTTATTCATCCCATCAAATAACTCATTATACTGAGAAGTATTAATAATTCATACCTCCTACAACTATTAGCTATATCACAAAACTTTGCTTCTGCATGAAGTTAAAAGGAAACTCTTCAGATCATTAAGGTGCTTCTTGAGGTCATTTTGTGAACCAGGATTAGGCCTAACATCTTTAGTACCAACTGAATGAGGTGCATCTATAAAGTACACAATTGAATAAATCACATGTACATGTACTAAACCCATTACTATTATTATACCTAATAAATCTTTCAGTGATCTGTTTATATTGATTGTTCTTGGTTTACGTAATCCTTTCAATGGTATAGCATACTTCAGTACATGAACAGTATCAGGACGACTGCTGTCAGCATAATAATTATATTATTACTCTCATGACCAAAATGATCTAAATCTCCTTCTTCAATCTATTCAATCATTATACACATATCAATAGCCAGCAATACCTACATGGTATACCTATATCAGGACAAACAGTCCAACCAGTTATTGGTTCATCCTGAGGACAAAAGTACAAAACACTAGCTCAAGGCATCCAAAAGAAGGATCAAATTGAAATTTGAAATCTTGCCTGAGTTCATGCTGATGATACTCTTTTCTAATGAACTAAAGTAATACAATAAAAACAGCACTGACTTATACATATGAATACTTTAATAAGAACATCTAAATCTATGGCAGCTTCAAATCTCAGTAAATCTGCTCGTTTATAAAACACAATGTCCAGCATACACTGTAGCTTTAAAGTATTCTGTATACAAGATGATTTATTGGCGGGAGTAATATTTGGCAAATTTGCCCGTGGAAAGAAATTGGCAGATTTTATAATGGCAATTTTGTGCCACGTGCCATTGAGCATGCTCAGTTAGAAACAAAATGGCAAATTTTATATTGCCGATTTCTTCATAGAACCGCCAATCGCCAATATTGATTCCCCACCAATAAATCATCTTGTACGGTACCCATGGAATAAGTACATACAACTTTATGATACATTACTGACAGGTACATGCATACTGTACAAGATGATTTATTGGCGAGAGTAATATTTAACAAATTTACTTGTGGAAAGTTGATTCGCAGATATTTGGCAACTTTATGCCACACGCCATTGAGCATGCTCAGTTTGAAACAAAATGGTGGATTTTTCATTGGCAATTTCTTTGTAGAACTGACAATAGCCAATATTAATTTCTCACCAATAAATCATCATGTACGGCATAATAAAATAAAGATACTTACTACATGTGAGTGATGATAAAGTGTTTGGTTGATCATATGATTCTAGAGCAATTGTTCCATTCTCATCATCTTTCTCTTCTTCATTTCCTCCAGCTACTCCACCTGCTCCTTGTCCTTCTCTTTGTCCCTTCCCTGAATTAATGATACATGTACATGTACTTCTGTTCAATTCTTGGAGGATTCAAATAATTACATGTACTGATATACATGTACAACAAACTATTTTTACTATACAACACAATAAATCTGATATCAGGTGTTATTTTAAAATGGCTGTAACTCAAAAATCTGAAGTTGAAATCAATACAAACTTTATACACAGCAAAAGGACATCAATATGTATTAGAAAATACAATAAAAATTAGGGGTGATTTTGGAGCCATTTTCTGGAAAAAACCATGGGTATTTTTCTAAACTTTGGTGTTTTCTTAAAATGGTTGTAATTTGAAAAAAATTGAAGTTGAAATCAGCTCAAAATTTCTATACAGCATAAATACATCAATATGGATTAGAAAATGTAAAAAACTTTGTGGTCATTTCAAAACCATTGTTTGGAAAAAACCATGGGCTATACATGTGTATAGAGCCTTGGGTATTTTTTAGAATTTTTGCATTTTCTTGAACTATTTGTAACCCCAAAAATCAAAAACTTTCTACACAGGATAAGGGCATTTAATATGTATCAAAAAATATAATTAAAAATTGGGGTGATTTTGCAGCCATTTTTCAGAAAAACTGGCATTTTTAGAATTTTGCTTTTTCTTAAACTGGCTATAACTCAAAAAATTGAAGTCGGAATCAGCTCAAACTTTCTACACAGCATAAGGACTGTTGGGATATTTGAGGACTGTATAATTATAATGACAAGATTTCCACAAAGACAAACTTCTCTTTTTATGAACAAAGACACACTCAATTCTCTAAGCATGCGCAATTACAAGTACAAAATCAATAATAATGAATAGTTAATTGCACAATATTTCCTAACAAGGACATCAATATGTATCAGAAAATGTAACAAAATTCGGGTGATTTCACAGCCATTTTTTGGATAAAACCATGGCCTTGGGTTTTAAAATTTTGGCATAATTGTGTCTGCAATGTAGTACCTGAATCCCTTTAAAAATGCCCTCAGCTCTTCATGCACCTCTAGCAGATACCTTAATTCTTCTAAAAATTCGTCACAGCCACTTTTGATAAATAAATTTTGAAAACGAATAATTAGAGTTAACTAAGCCTTAATGGCCAGCTAACAATAAATTATGACGAAATAGGAGGCACTAAGATGCATGTTTGCACAAGATATTGTAAGTCTGTCGATGCTTCTTTGTTGTTTAACTAATAATCTTCACAATCTGAATCGCAGTCATCTGTCCGGTGGAGTGCTGCTCGAGGCATCACTGTGAGTTAGACATTATTTTCGGCCTCTTCCAGCACAGGTCCATGTGTTATAATGCTGTCGAGTTTCGAAATTAGAGGGAAATGGCGAAATTAGAAGAACTTTCATCATAATTTACAAAACGAATAATTAGAATTAATTTTGAAATAAAAGAGCTTAAAAATTATTTATTTTCAAAATGAGAGGTGCGAAATTTTAGAATAATTACAGCAGTGGCGTAGCCAGACCTTTTGTGATGCCCGGGCCGGGGAAAAAAAAATTGGCGCGCGAAGCGCGCCAAAAATTTTCACGCTGTTAATGATATTCATGATAGGTGTGGTCAGTTAAACCGGTGGCAAATGGCTGCTTTTGAGTAGAATTTGTATGAGATCGCTGGTTTTTTGTGTCAGACCTCACAAAATATTATTGCTAAACAATCAAAATCAAGGAAAAAAGTCATATTCTTGTAGAGCAGTGCTCAATAATCTCTGGTAAACAATTGATCATTGATATTTCAACTGTCTAATTATTTGACCTGGGATCTGATACCCGGGCCCAGGCCCGGCAGGCCCGGGTGTAGCTACACCACTGAATTACGGTATCTCAGTCTTGAGGTATTACATTACTTAAATGTACATGAACATGCACAATATATACACACACATATCCAGACACACTGGACTACATGTACATTAAATTGCCATTACCTTCAATATCTTTACCAACAAAAGGCTTCACATTATATCAAATTATAACGATTAAATTCTCTTTCATTAATCAATTTCTTTAGCTCCAATGAATTGGTCGAATCTCCAGGCTACAATAATAGTAATAATAATAATATGTAAAATACCAAATAATTGACAGCAGGTGGTGAATTAGCTTTATAATTAGAGCTATAACTTACAAAATTATGTTTTGTTAATATACATGTACACCAGACTGCCTTTTCAATAGAGTGTATGTTTCCAATAGCCATAGTTTATCCAATGGTGAGTATTGAGGTATTAATTTAATTAACTTGACTTACTAGGAGCCAATGACTATAAATAAAAATAAAAATAAATCATGATAATAATAAGAATTTATAATACATGTACCATATAGGGGGTATATTTCACGGGGATTTAATTTTGCTAATTTCACGGTTTTAAAAAATTTGTGAAAATTTTTATGCATGAAAATTATTTTTTATGTTACTCATAATGGTCAGTAGAAGAAAGACACAAAGAAAATTTCTTGTGAATAGGTTGAAAGGTGATTTTTTTGTGAAATAATCTTCCCCAGTAAATATATCCCCTATACAGTATGTAAATTATAAAATGTTACAATACGTAGCCCCTTCTATCTATTGCTGTACTAGATTAGTACAGTAATAGTCTCCTTTAGCCATTCTTGATGGAGAGTATACCATGTCAAGGGGTATCACTTGCATATAGCCTGTACTAATGTTTGTGACCAGGATCAAGATGATCTTATCTACGGCTTAACATGATACGAATGTACTCAAATAATTATCAATAGAATATAGATATATGCCTAATAACAAACACGGACAGCTGAAATCAAGAATACAAGAAGTATGGAGCATTAAAAGTTCCTTGATCTCTTGATTCTCTTCCACAACAACTTTTGATGTTTTGATTTATATCTGAATTGGTCTTGATCACTTGATCACGTCTTGATCCTGGTCCTAAACATTAGTACAGACTAAATGAAAGTGACACCTCCTTGCCTGTACTATAGTACAGGCCAGGGTACTTTAGCACAATCTTTTAGCAACTTTTAAAATTCGTAAAAAATCCAGTTTTGATCGAAACTAGCTTAAACTTTTAACACAAAATAAGTACATGTACCGTATTTTACCGATTAAACGCCCAGGCGTTTATTTCTTAGAAGCAAAAAAAATTCGTTGAAAATAAAAAGTGACCTTGAGCAGGAATCGAACCCCCAACTCTGGGCAAGTCAGGCGAGGCTCTAGCTATTAAGCACTTTGGAGTTATCTCAACAGTGGAGCATTATTTTTGGTAGAATATGCGTATCTATATCTAGAATATATTAATGACAGGCGCTTATTTGGACCAGGCGTTTATATGGTAAAATACGGTATATGTATCAGGAAATGACTTTAAAATTTATAATTCTCTTCTTTTCAGTTTTGGCAAAATTAGGCCTGAGACTGTGTACTATAGTACAGGAATTTTAGAGCAACTTTATACATTCTTAAACAATTTTGATCCAAACCAGATGAAACTTTCTACACAACACAAAAACATGCATAATTGTGCATCAGAAAAGTTACTACTCATGTCCAGAAATGAGTGGACACGGAGTAGTATACTGAGCAATTATCTCCGTATACCACTGATTGACTTTATACAGGGCAGGAATGGACATTTCCATTTACTAGGCTATATCTTTCTTTACAATAAGAATCATCAATTTGCGCACTTCAGTAGCTGTTCTTCATCCATCTACCTGTGTTCCTGCTAAATATTACAGCATTTGGAGTAACTTTATGTGGAACATTTACCAATTGAAGATGAGGCAGTCAGTGCCGCCATCTTGTCATTCCTTTATGTATGATAATTTTTTTACTTTTTGAATGGTTATATCTAAATTTCAAACAATTTTTGACAATTTGCTCACTTATTTTGTGAAAGTACAAAATTCTTACTACCAAATGATGCAAAAAAGATAAAGAAATTCAAAACTTTGTTTGGAACATTTGTCTCCTGAAGGTGAAGTAATTTTAGCCATTTCAATGATGACGGGTGCAGCAGCAAGAGTCAACAAGTCACAAGTGCTTTCCTCTTCTCTTAGGAATAATAAAGTGAAAGAAAGAGTGCTTAACATCTTATATATACAAGCAAATAGTGTCTCTAGACCTTTTTGAAGTAAGACGGCCGTTTGTTGAGAAGAGCCTGTTCTTTCACCACGCTTGCCACTTTAACAAAAGAATATGAGAAAACTACCATAACCAATTGCATTAAGTAGCATTCTAGAAGCCTCAAGTATCTAGTGAAGTCCCATCCATGTACCAGAAAGACGTTAGCAAACTTTGTAGTGAAGCTTCCTATCAATCCACCATTGCTGAACTGCCGTTGCTATGGTAATTCCAATGAATATCATTAAATTAACGCGACCGGAAGTCCCATTGCAATTTCTGGACATGTAAAAATAAGAACTATTCTCTCCTCTTCACATTATTATAAACTACATACATACACTCTTTATATATAACCACTGACCTTACTCAATACAGTAACGTTATCAAGCTGTACTAACAGGATCCCTTTACTGTCTCAGAGAACTTTACAAATTCTTCCCCCGTGGCCACCATTTTATTATAAACCACGCCTACTAACTCAATAGTCACACCCCTATTGTCTTATTTGAATTCAAAAATTAAAAATTTGAACTATTTCATACAGAGATACTACATGTATCTCTGCTTCAGCAGTCTGAAGTTGATGCACCAATATAATTATTCACACGACATGGGACTTTATAAGAAAAACTTTGTTATTTTCATAATAAATAAAATATTAATATGTACATCATTTTAAATACAAAAGTTTCATTGCTATTTATGAAGACAGTACTTATCATTGTTATTGGTAATTATACATGTACACTATTATTATTGGTATCATTATTAATAATATTACTGCTAGTACTAGTGTTACCATTGCTTTTATGTTATTATTATTATTATTATTATTGGGATTTTGTTTTTTAATCTGTTCATCTTCATCATTCTGTGTTTGATCAATACTCTTTCTCAATTTTCTATGTCCTAAACAACACAAAAATTAAAAATTGCATACCACACCACAGTGTGCAGATATACATATCAGTTATGCAGTAATTTCTACACTTACTGATGATGTGATCAGCTGTTGGCTTGCTGTCACATTGTTCAAGAGCATTAACTAGTGTGGTCCAGCTTGTTCCTCCTTTATCATCTACACCATCAGCTCTCTGCAACCATTTAACTATAGACTCTTTAAGGCGATTTTCAACTTTAGAATAATTAGATTCTATGGCACTCAGTGTAGTATCATACAATCCCAGTTTCAGTCCTAGAATCTGCCAATTGCTACTAGGAAAATGACCGTCCTTCAGATAAGTTAGGATTGCATCCAAATTGCATACATTGAGTGCTTGTGAATATCCTGAATCTATAAAGTAGTGATTATTTTTACAAGAGTATAATAGCAACATTAACACATGCAAATTGTTTCAATTTCAAAATTGGATAAACAGACTATACATCTTAGTAATACACCAAGCAAGATTAAATTCTGCTACCGTAAACATAAAAATTTTCGTGGCGGATAAATTTTCGTTTTTTCCGTGGGCCACACAGATCCACAAAAATTTAATGCAAGGGTGTGGTGGTTAATTCAATAGGCCACATGACAGCCATGCGTACTGATCATGAATATTATTCGTCTCTCTTTCACACTTCAGTATCTCTCCTTCCTCTGCTTCCCAGATCTCCTTATATACATGGTAGCCCCTGATAACTGAAAAGATATAAAAGGTAGGTATCTCTGCAGGTGTCGCCATGTTACCACGTGGTCAATAAATTAATAAAATTGGGTAACGTCTACCACAAATTTTTTATGCACAAAAATTAATTTTTACGGAAAAATTCGAAAATTTACACCATGAAAATTTTTACGTTTACGGTATTTAAATTTAAAAACGATTGTTATTGTTTATTATTGTACATGATGACTATGACATGTAAAAGGAGGTGAGCTAGGAGATATAATGATACACAATAATAATTTACCTGATAATAAGTTAGTTCTGAGTAATCTGTTAATAAAAACTTCCTTTGGTTTCTGCACACCTTTCAATGGTACAGAATAATGCAGGATAGGTACAGTATGGGGACTATTCTCAGCATATATTGATACCAGGCAAGATGGAGGGACTGTAGTACTAATGTCACCAAAACCAAGAATTTCTTCCTCTTCAATCTATTATGTAAAAACAGCTGAAAATTGAACTGCATTTACTATTGTATACAATATACCTGACAAGGCATTATATGTGGCATAACTTGCCATCCTGTTGTTGGTCGAGACTGCTCCTTATCAAATTTCAGTTTGATCCGTCTTTTCGGTGATTTAAGTTTAAAAGTAATACTTTGATCAATCTCTGGACATGAATACTTCTTTTCAATATACTATAACAATAATAAATAATACTTTGCACAAAAACAACAAAGTAATAAATAAAAGGATCCCTAAGTTACGGATACCTGATGTAGCAAATTTAAATCTCTAGCAGCTGTAAATGTCATTAAATCTCTTCTCTCTTCTCTTTGATAAAACACTTGTCCAGCATACACTGTAGCTTCAGGTATACCAGTGGAATGAGTAGAGACAACTATAAATCAAAGTAAAGGTGAACTTGTTACTAATCAATTTCAATACTCATAGGCTCACTAGTTTTAGATTGTGATGTACTTAATTCAGAGTCTTCAGTACAATCCACTGGCTCCTTCAACCCATTCCCTTCCTCCTCTCTATCACTCCTTCCTACTCCACCTGCTTCTCCTTCTTGTCCTCCTGCTCCTTGTCCTTCTCTTTCCTCCTTACCATCATCTCCTGAGTCTCCATCTTCCTCTCCATTCCTCTCCTCATTCCTACCTCCTCCATTTTCCTCTTCTTCCTCCCCAACAATAGCTAATTGACAGAACTTGCTTCGTTCAATCCATCCGTATCTCTGGTATGCTGGAAACTCTCCTCCTTCAATTAGTGAGAAATGGTAAGGAAGACTAGCTGTGTGAACTGGAGCAACAGCAAATTTAAGATACTTGGATAAAGAAGGATCACTGAGATCAATACAGTGTTGCATTTCTATCCTCAGTGACTTGAGGAGTGGACTGGTTGATATTGCATATACTGCACTGACTAGTCTAGTATTTTCAGGAAATCTATAAGTGAATAAAGTTAAGTATACATTACTAGACATGATATGCATGTACAAATGTACTTGAAGTGTCCTCCTACAAGAGCTAGTACTGATACTTCTACAGTCTCTGATGCTGATAGACTATCCTCTGGTACACTAATCCTCAGTCCATACTCCTCCCAGTTCATCAGTTGAGGTTTGTCTCCTTGAACTAAGAACAACTTCTTCCCTGCTATTTGGGACTCACTCAGACCTTCTAAATTATCTGTAGAAAAGTATAACACGTGAAATTATGTATTGTTAAAATGTGTATGTAATTATGGACAAAGATGAGACAATGAACCATAATTCATGTAGAGCTACAGTCAATGACTTTAAAAACTTATAAAAAATCCAATTTTTGTGGGAATCAGTTCATACTCTCTACACAACATCAAAATATGCATACACATAAGAAAAAATGGTGAATTATTTTCTTTTTAATTTTGACAAAAATTGACCCAAGACCGTGTATTATTACTATAGAAAAGAGACTAACCTTGTGATGGTACAAGATAGTTGAACTGAATTTCTTTGTCAAGAGCTAAAGTATAAAAGTAATAATAAATACAGTAAATAAAATAATTACATACTTTTTTGTGTTGTTTGTATTTCTTTGTTTTTAGTTTCAACTTGAGTCACAACTTCTTTTGAATATTTTACTAAAAATAAAGATGTCAGTACTGTCACAAACAACAGCATACCATTAATATCATATTCTTCATCATTATTCATTGTATATTGTCCAGTAGGTAATTCATGTAAACCTACAGTGAATGACAATGTACAGTACATGATTACCGTATACCGGTTTATTTTCAAGGTGGAAAATTTTCATGAATTTTGCATTTCTAAAATTTTGCGGAATTAATTTTCACAAATTGCATGCAGACTGCATCACGTGGCAATAGAAAGCAGATTTTCGTGACTAATCAAAAACCACAAAATTCGCTAAAATATTTTACCACAAAAATAAACCGGTATACGGTATACCAATCTCTAATCCTTACCTTCCAGTATATCATCTCTATCCATTCTTTTCAATGATTCCTTCAGTTCAGTTATTGTTCTATCCTTCTCATGGCACCAGGTCTCAAGTACATGAGTTAATCTTGAATCAACTGGTGTCATCTCTTTGATTTCAGTTAACACTGATTCCTTCACTTCAAGACACTGTCCAATATGATACCAGTCATCTTCAACTGGTTCCAGTATCACTGATAATTGTAATATATCCCCTATAAAATGGCATTAAATTTCTTTAAAATTATGTACATGTGGTATATTTAATTTTAAAAGAAAAACTATGATGAGTTTTTTTATGCATTATGTAATAATAACCTGCATGTATGTATAGTAGCATTTGTTTGGCTTTGATGATGTTTTTGTTACCATGCTTTACAGGTAAATACAGCTGGAAATGTTTTGATCATTTAGCAATAAGGTATAATGTAACACTTTCATCACTCGGTGAATGTGCAGTATTATTAAAGGCTATTATTTGATTAAGCTATTATACAATATACATGAACATGTACATGCATGAGCTCGATTATGATGTACATGGACATGTACAGCCACAAATTCCACCCATAAACCACTATAAATTTTTATAATCAAAATATGGTAACTACTAATACCAACAAGTGTACTACCATATAGCTCAAAACTTTTGAGGCTAAAAACTATCATAGTATCGCGAATTTGCAGTTTAGGCCTCAAGCGCGAAAGTTTTCATTGCGAAAATTCAAAGGAGTGTGGTCAAGTAGGCATGGGCTTGCCTTAATTAAGTGAGCATGTGTCTTTTATTGTCTTAAAATGGCCTCTATCAGCTGTATCTCGAAGAAAGAAGGCCAAACCCTCTTGCAATCATGCTTGTCATTTGTCTCATGCTGTGGGAGCTCTCCCAATGTTCAAGTATAGAGCTGCTAGCCATGCCCTCAATGCAATGGACCTGGGCCATTCGCAAAAGTTTTAATCGCAAATACATTTATCTCTCTTTTCACTCATTCGCGAAAGTTTTTACCCTCAAAAGTTTTGAACTACACGGTATTATACAATCATTTATGCAGTCTATCGTAGATACAGTTTATTCATATCTTTCCTGTGAATGACGTTTCTGATTTATAATAATATTCATTGGGATACCGTAAATGAAAAATTTTTTAGGCCGCCATTGTGGAGGTATTGCTGCACTGTTTTCAATGGAGCTCGATACACTTTCTGCCGTTTTGTAAGAAGAGCAAGTAGTTATAACCTCAAAAAGTAAAAAAATTGCAACCTGTAGCATTCTTTTCATAGGTCTGCAACTGTTTGGAGTCACTGGAGTGACGAGGAGAAGTAGAATTGACAGTTTTTAGCCTGTCGGTCCATTGTAGCAAGTGATAGTATACCTCCACAATGGCGGCCTGAAAAATTTTCCATTTACGGTATCCCAATAAATATCGTTATAAATTAGAAACGTCATTCACAGGAAAGATATGAATATTGGAGTGCTGAACTAACCTTTACTGATATAAGTACATGTATGTACAGTCTCAGTCTCTTGTAATATCTCATACTCTTCTTTCTGTTCTATTGGTACTATACAATACAATTAATTAATAATTATTAAAAATATGTATACCATTATGATCTTTAATTAATGACATTAATCTTTCATTCTCCAGTATCAATGCTTTCCTTTGTTCTAATTATAAGAAGAGGTCATTAACTAGCAATTAATAATGTGTGTGGGTGTTTACATACTTTGAAATGTTTCACTTTCACTTTTAATCTTTTGTATTTTACTCTGTAATTCTACAATAAATAAAAATAATGTGTACATAAAAAAACATTGAAACACAACAAACTAGATAAACATATGTACATGTATATAGGCTACAACCTACAATGTACATAAACACCACACACACACTTACACATTATATATATAAATATACACACACACATACCTGACTGAGTGACAGTGTAATCACTCTGAACTAATACTTGTTCTAATTCTTGTTGAAGATCATCAATCTTCTTCTGTAATTCCTCTTTCTCTTTTAAATCATCTTCTTTCTGTTTCATTAAACTAGAGGATATTTTTTTCTCTTCTTTCAGTTCCTCTTGAAGCTCCTCAACTTGTTCATGTGTAAGTTCATTGTCTATAGTATAATAATGCCGGATTGGAGTATCAATAAACAATAATAATTAATACACTATACCTGATATCAATTCTTTATATTTTTCTGCAATTCGTTTTTCAGCAAGTGCTGATATTTTTTCTTCTCTTAGAAAATAAGGGAGTGTCATTTTCCGATGAAATATTTCTTCTTCACATTCTTTTATAACTTGTTCATGAAACTGTTTCTCTTTTTCATGGAGTTCCTTTTCTTCCTCCAGTTGCTTTTGAATACTTTCAACTTTCTCCTGTAGCAACATAACTTGATTCTCATCCTTTCTGTCTTCCTCCTCCTTCTCCTGGTAAGAATGACCCACTGAATCTGTTGTTCCTAGAATAGTTAATATGTTAATGTATTGTACATGTACATGTATGTACTGATAATATTCCTAATGATTAATGTACATGCACATGTACCTGGTAATTTAGTTAATTCAGTTGCAAACGTGGTATCTTTACTGTGTGCAGCGTCATCAAAACTCTTAATGAATGATTTTCGTTTCCACACTCGCCACATACTATCATCACCATCTCGTCTAATGACATTTAATTTCATACGATATGGTAATACAGCTGATGACAGTCTCTGTACATCTTTAAGTACTAAAGAGCTAGTATCTTCATCAACGACAATCGTAACAGACTCAAGTACTGATGATGCTTTTAAAAGCTCTTCTTCCAAAAATTGACAGAGATTCATTTTTAAATTCTCAACAGCTTCTTTATAGTCCTCAACAACTGGCTTAGCCTCCTCTATATAAAACACATTAACGAAATACTCCAGCATACTAATGTCATCAAGTGAACTGTTATCACAAACTAATACAAAAACGTCACGGATATTTTGACACTGAGCTACTTGAGGACTCAATGTTTTGTCATATGCTCCCAATACAATTTTGATATTATCAAGGGATGATCCTGGAGAATAACGGTTCCTCATCACAATTAGTTTCGCTTTGATGAAGGTTTGCCCAAACTTTAATTGAATCGACTTAAACTCTGAAATGATACTCACAGGAAGATAAATCTTTAGCACTTTCACTACAATTGATGTGATATACTTAAGTCAATACGTAAATTTTTCTTACCATTCTCATCATCACTCTCATAAGCCTCTCCTATATAACAATCATTAGTTACTGGTATAAGTTATAATACATGTACTTACTGTAGTCTCTCATGATTGCATTTCCTATCTCAGCAGTGGCTGTGTATTTACATAAAATATCAGCAAATGCCCCCAGTTTTCTATAATCTTTACATATAATTTTTTTTATTTGAGCCAACAAAACTCCTCCTTCAGACAATGTCATCCCTCCAATCACCTCTGATGATAAAATTTTGCCTAGCTGAGGTAATGCAGACAATAGAAACTGGTTTGAGGAATAACGAGCAAGAATTCTACAAGCAGGATGCTCTAAACATTAATAAATTAAATGATACGTTCATTTTAAAATTAAACTTACTCTCCATATCTATTCCATCAGCTACTCCATTCTCTCCTAATTCCCTCAATGCTGATACCAATGAATAGATCGTAGGACAACTTTTAGTCTCCTGTACATCGTCAGCTTTCTGTAACCATACCTTGAGACAATCACGCAGACAACTCTCAGAATCACCACTATTATTCTTTATAATAACATTTAGTGTAGCAGGGAATAGTCCAAGACAAAAGAAGAGACTATAGTAACTGGTTCCTGAATAACCATGTCTTCTGAGTAATTGAAGTACCTCAGGTAGATCATTAACTATTAAATAATTTCATTTAATAAAAGAAATAAACAAATAAATATACTTGTCAGTTGATTTGGAGGGTCAACTGGTACAGAAGAAGTCAGCTTAGAAGCCATATTCAACGTCAGGGGGCACGTGATCACAACCACACCTACTAATAAATGCCAGCTCAGCAACAACAATTCTGAAGCCATCCATTGCAGCACTTGCATTGACATTTTCGAGAAAATCAAGTCACACGTCATTATAAATCCTTTATGCAGTGGGAAAAGATTTCATATGCCAATTTAAAATTACCCTCTTCCTTGCCTCATTTTTACATTTTAATCTACATGTAACTTTCATTTTATTACATGATTATGCGTTACTATAACATAAAGACTTGCCTTGACTTATTCACATTATTAGTTTCTCTAATGATTAGCATGGAAGATGATTATAGTAACAATTTACTTTTCATTGCTTGTTCGATTATATACAACACTGTTGAGGTACTTCTCCATTAACTATACAAGATACTCTAATTATATAATACTTCAATATCATATAACTTACAACATTGAGAGATTGGTTCAGCTATCCTCACAAAAGCAATGCTTCCCTTGTTCATTACAATAAACACCTCAAGCTGATCAGGACACACATCAACTACTGACATTATACAGTTAATAAAAGTATCAGCTCTTTCTGCTAATGACTAGCTTGCTGTAGAATGAATTATTGTCACTAATAATGTTTACAAGCTATGTCACAGAAAATTTTATGTCACCATAATCCATGATGTCACAACCCTGTACATACTACGGGGTTTTTGGCAAAATCATTTCAAAGTAACTTTGAAAAAATTTGTAAGAATCTCAAAAATTTCTATGCATTAAAAATTAAAAAAATAAAAGGCATATAAAAATTCCTTTTTTGGTTTTATTTCTTGTAGTTGTCCATTAGTGTGTCAGCTAGTGCAATAGTTCTCAAAGTGTCTTCTTCTCTCAGTATATCTATAAATATACCAAACACTTTTCCATTCATACAAATAGAACTCAAAATTATGTGAAGCAACTCATCCATTTTGTCATCGTCAGTTTCTCTAGCAGTAATTTTCCTTTTCTCTCTTGAATTTACGATCCTGTGTTCCAGTAATTTGTCAACTAAGAAGTTGATATCAATTCCACAGTCCTTTATTGATGAAGTACATTCTGTCATTACTCTATGAGCAATATCCAATCTATATCTACTGCCTATACATGCACACATACACATTACATGCATATATAAATTCAGTGATACCTTCTTCAGTCCCTCTCCTGGTTTTACTGGTACTAGCATTAGAGATAGTAGGGCTGATTACTATAAATAATAATAATGTTAGGCTGTATTTAGTTTTTTAGTAGTATCAACTAACTGTTTAAAGTAGGAGGAGAAAGAGGTGATCTACTGATGTAAACAGAATCTATTGAAGAAGGTAATAAGAATAATAAAAACTGAACTTTATGCAATACTATTATACATATCTTTCATTGATCTGTTAATATTGATTGTTTTTGGTTTATGTAATCCTTTCAATGGTATAGCATACTTCAGTACATGAACAGTATCAGGACGGCTGCTGTCAGCATATATTGATACCAGACAAGATGGAGGAGTGTTACTCTTATGACCAAAATGATCTAAATCTCCTTCTTCAATCTATTAATAGTATATACACAGATAAATACCAGCATTACTATTATACGTGTACTTGACATGGTACTATATCTGGACTAACAGTCCAACCAGTTATTGGTCCATCCTGAGGACCAAACACTAGCTCAAGGCATCTAAAAGAAGGATCAAACTGAAATTTGAAATCTTACCTGAGTTTATGCTGATGATACTCTTTTCTAATGAACTAAAGTATTACAATAACAACAATGACTTCAAAATATGGATACTTTAATAAGAGCATCTAAATCTTTGATTGCTGCAAATCTCAGTAAATCTGCTCATTCATAAAACACTTGTCCAGCATACACTATAGCTTCAGGTATACCAGTGGAATGACTCGAATGAGTAGATACAACTGTAAATGAAAAAGAATTTGTTACTAATCAATTTCAATATTCATACACTCACTAGGTTTAGATTGTGATGTACTTAATTCAGAGTCTTCAGTACAATCCACTGGCTCCTTCAATCCATTCCCTTCCCGCTCCTCTCTATCACTCCTTCCTACTCCACCTGCTTCTCCTTCTTGTCCTCCTGCTCCTTGTCCTTCTCTTTGTCCCTTACCCTCATCTCCTGAGTCTCTATCTTCCTCTCCATTCCTTTCATCATTCCTACCTCCTCCATTTTCCTCTTCTTCCTCCCCAACAATAGCTAATTGACAGAATTTGCTTCGTTCAATGTATCCATATCTCTGGTATGCTGGAAACTCCCCTCCTTCAATTAGTGAGAACTGGTAAGGAAGACTAGCTGTGTGAACTGGAGCAACAGCAAATTTAAGATACTTGGATAAAGAAAGATCACTGAGATCAATACAGTGTTGCATTTTTATCCTCAGTGACTTGAGGAGT